CTAAGTAGGTGCTTTAGACCACTGAGCCATCTCACCAGCCCTATCTCATCAGTCCTTATTTCTCTTATTTCTCACTTTTTTCTAATTGTTCTGGCAAACATTTCCTGAAGTATATTGAATAGGAGTGGTGATAGTAGGCATCATTGTTTTGTTCCAGATTTTAGACTGAAAGTTCAGTTTCTGCTCTGTTTAATATGATGTTGGCTATTGGGTTATCATAGATGGCTTTTACTATATTTACATAGACTGTCTACTCCAATTTTCTGTGTGCCTTCTATCATGACTCACTGTTGGACTTCACCAACCTTTTTTCCCACATCTACTGAAATGATCAGGTATGTTTCATCACTACCCCGTTGATATGGTGTAATACGTTTGTTGATTAGCTTATTTTGAACTACCCCTTTATTACTGGGCAAAATTCTGCTTATTCATAGAGCATAATATCCCGGATGACTTGCTGTATTCCATTTGCAAGTTTTTGTTTTTTTTTCTTTTGTATTTTAGGGAAGGGTCTACAGGGTGTTCAGTGTCCCACTGTTAGATCCTACTCATAGTGATCCGCCTGTTTACAGCCTCCCAAGAGCTGGGGTTACAGGAGCATGCCGCCACACCCAGTCTCAGTTAGCATCTCATTGGACCCCAGGGGTGGGGCTGGCATGGCAGGCCTGGGGATCGAACCCTTGCCCGTTGGCCTGCTTGCAGGTGCTTTTGAGCTATTTGGCCAGCTCTCAATGCAAGTATTTTATTGAGGAATTTTGCAGGTACGCTAATTAAGAAGATCCACCTGTAGTGCTCTTTTGTTTTTTAAGTCTTTCTCTGGTTTTGGTATGAGAGTAATGCTTCCCTAGAAGAATGAGTTAGAGGGAATTGCTTCCCTTCCAAATTCATTAACATGTTCGAGTTGTATTGGTATTAAATCTCTAAATATCTTGTAGAATTCAGTTGTGAAATCATCAAGCCCTCGGCTTTTCTTGGTTGGTAATTTTTAATCATATTTTCAATCTCATTAAATGACTTTGAGTTATTCAAAGTTTTTATATCCTTTCTTTCTTTCTTTCTTTCTTTCTTTCTTTCTTTCTTTCTTTCTTTCTTTTTTTTTTTTCCCAGAACCGGGGATTGAACTCAGACCCTTGCGCTTGCCAGGGAAGCACTTATTCTACTGAGCCATCTCTCCGGCCCCTTTATATCTTTTCATTCCAGCTTTAGGAACTCAAATATTTCCATGCATCACTCCGTTTCTTCTCTTTTCTATCCTATATGAGCAAAGGTTTTTGAAATAGGTATTGATGGTCTTCTAAATTTTCAAAGATCTACAATAATTTTACCCTTTTCATTTCTTGTTGCAGGAATTTGAGTTCTTTCCTTTTGTGATAAGGTTAGAGGTCTAATTTATCTAGTTTTTCAAAAACAACAAAACTTCTTTTTTTTTTTTTTTTTT